GGCCTCGGTGCCCCGGCGCGCGGCGCGGGAGAGCGCTCGGCCTTGGACTGCTGCGGCGGCGGGGGCTCGACACCGAGGGGGCCCGCCCCGGGACCCTCGCCACCAACAGGCTTCACTCGAGCGGGGCGGGGTGTCAGTTGCTAAAGTGTCTTAATTTCCTGGCGTTACCCGCCCCCTCCCCCCACCTCCGCCAAGGCTCTGCGCGGCCCTTGGAGCCCGAAGGACAACCTGAGGCTGCTGAGACTCTCTCCCGCTTCCCCGCATCTTGGTATTTTCCTTTTTGCCAGCCGCAGGCGGTGAGTGACGACTCCCGGCCTGGCCTGCCGTGGAGATGCGCGGGCCCCTCCGAGCCTCGGCCTGGGAGGCGCTCCCCTGGGGCGGGGTCGGTGCCATTGCGGAAGGTCGGGTGCTTGGGGGAGGGGAGGCCGGCCGCCGTCAGACAGCGTGGGTCGGAGGGCGCGCGTTCCAGCCCGGGTGGTTAAGGGGTGTGAGCTAATGAGGGCGCCCGCAGGCGGCACTGCAGAACCAGTGGCACTCCATTATTCTGTAGCAATTTGTAGATACGAAAACCATATTCCTGATACAGCCACCAAATCAGCCCTTGCTTCTGTCGACTTTCCCAAAATCTCACATACTGATGGCAGTTGCGAAATCACAGCTTTTATTGTGTCGACTCTTACTAGGAGTAATTTTAACAAAGTCTTCCAGGGTAGATTAGCTTTTAGTAGATAAATCAAGCGCGCGCTCTCTCTCTCTCTCTCTCTCTGTATGTATGTATGTATGTATGTATATATATATATATATATATATTCTTTTTAATTTGTAAAATTGGGATGGCAGCTTTGCACAGATCAGGTTTAAGATTTTTACTAGCACAAGATCATTCCTGCTAAAGCTTGTACTTTGGAGCTCCAGAATCTTAGTTGGGCACTCTTCCATATTTCCAAGGTCCTGTGACTGTCCTCTACAGTTTGAATATTTATTCCATTTTTTTTCCTCAGTAAATTTCTAAATGCTTTCTAATAGCCGTCAAATCAACAAAGCTCAAACATACTTGTTGACCATGCACGTGGTTTCACAATCATAAGAGATAAACTATTGAAATCTGTTCTTCAGCGGGAGTACAATCCACTTATACAGAGAATGTCAGGACTGAGAGGAACGTCCCAATTTATCTGGGGCAAACATGGGATCTATGCTTGAGTCCCCTCTCTAACATTTAATAAGTGGCCATCCAGCCTTGCTGAATACTTCTCTAGGAAGCCTGTTATATTTGCCAACAGCACCATTAGAAAAGCCTTCCTTATATAGAACTAAAACCTACCTCCCTGAAACCTGTACCCACTGGTTCTGGTTCTCCCCCAGCAACACTGAATTCTCTTCCTTAACATAGTATTTCATCTACCTGGAGCTGGTCTCATGTTCCCTTGAGTCCGCCCTTCTCTGGGTTAGACCCAGCCACTTCCTTCAGTGTGACAATTCCCAGACTCCTCACCAGCCTGATGGCCATTCTCTGGACATGACTCAGTATCTCAATGACCATCAACCCCCAACAATCAAAGTTCGTTTCCAGAAAGGGGCTCTGTTTTCACTCTGTGAGTTCTGACCAGTGCAGGACAGTACTGGCACTTTCTGTATTTTAAATAATTTGCTTCTATTAATGCAACTGAAGAAAATAAGCATTTGAGGGGCAGATACAGAATACCATTTTGTTAGTTTTGTGAATTACGCCATGTATTATTTTTGTAGGGCTGTCATAACAAAACACTACCACAGGCTGGGTGGCTTAAACAAGAAATTTATTTTCTTACAGTTCTGGAAGCTAGAAGTCAAAGATCAAGGTGTTGGCAGGGTTGGTTCCTTCTGAGGCCTCTCTCCTGGGCTTGCAGATGACCGTCTTCTTCCTTCGTGATCACATGGCTTTTCCTCTGTGGTGTCTGTGTCCTAATCTTCTCTTTTTATAAGGACACCTGACATATTGGTTAGGGACCACCCTAATGACCCCATTTTAACTTAACTGCTTCTTTGAAGGCCGTGTCTCCAAATATAATCACATTCTCAGGTACAGGAGGTTTGCCTTGGAAGAGGAGGGAAAGGATGCTCAGTAAGGGTTAACTGCTAAACTAGTTTGCTGTTTTGCTAATCAGCTCTCCTCTGTTGTTTCCCCTCCTCATAAGGGTTGGGATAATAGCTCCCCTTGTCTCTCCCTGGAAGCGTCTTCATCCACATTATATTCTTAGCAATGGGTTGGTTGTTTTCTTCTGATAATTAGGGTAAGTTAAACTGGCACAACAGATAAGCCAAAACATGCAATGGCTCCAGCATAACAGGAACTTCTTTCTCTCTCACAGAACAGTGCAAGGTGATGGTGGTGTGATACAGATAGGGGAGTTGGGGATGAATGGAGTTTGGGAACAGCAGTCATTCAGGGACTTTGTTGTCTGCAACACATGGTTTCCAAGAGTCCGTGGTCTTTGCCATTTCGGCCCTGCTACAAGATTTTAAAATGGTGGGACACAGCGCAATGACACTCGTATAAGTGAAAAACAGAATTGTTACTTATAGCTCCCAATGAGAAAGGGCTGCCTGGGAACATTGTTACAGCAAGCTGTAACTGTAGGCGGCAGCTTAGGTATGGCAAATGGGACAGGTTTTATGGGATCTCCGTGCATTGTCTAATTTGAATAATTTTGGAGGGCTCTGGGGCACGGAAGTTGTTCCTAGTTGTCTGGTACCTGGCCCTGGGGTGACTAGGGCAGGTATATAGTGGCCCCATGTGAAAGCCTGAAAAGGGAAATGATTGGGATGTGGACTTAATCAGCTGCTCAACAAGGGGAACTGACCAGCTTCCAGCCAGGACCTAAAAACTGGGTCAAGACAGCACAATAAATTTTTTTTTTTAAGATCAGCCCATAGGAGGAGGATAGGGTTTGTATGGCCAGGCCCCAAAATGGCACACATCCATGCTGCCCACATCCCATTGGCCAGAATGAGGTCACATGGCCAACTAGTCAGATGGTCTCACATAGGTGCAAAGGGATCCAGGAAATGTAGACCCAGAGACAACTCTTGTAGGAACAAGGGAGCTCAGATTTCAACTGGCGACTAGCAGGCTCAACCAGAAGGTTTAATCTGCATTACATACTTCTTTGCTTTTTTGTTTTTTTCCTGCTTTCTTCATATCTGTTTTACCTGCTTACATGGATAGCTTTTTCAGGGCAAGGATCACAATATTCTCTTGCTTTTGATTCTTCCCCCAGCAATTAATTCTGCATCCAATAGGGTTCTTCATGGATGAGCTTCTCACTAAAACAAGCCTCAAACGATTTCAATATGCAAAGATATCTGCCACATCGGAGCCTGGCATCAATACCTGTTACGTATTCTCTTGCTTTTGATTCTTCCCCCAGCAATTAATTCTGCATCCAATAGGGTTCTTCATGGATGAGCTTCTCACTAAAACAAGCGTCAAACGATTTCAATATGCAAAGATATCTGCCACATCGGAGCCTGGCATCAATACCTGTTACTTAGAATATAATTTACATTCGTTAAATTTAGATAACTGAAGGGGAATTTAAGTTTTGCCTCTATATAGAAATATTTGGTTCTCAGACTAAACAAGAGTTGCTAATGAGATGGTTTAACATCATCACCACCTACAGCCAAATTTTCCATTTCAGTTGACTTACCAGGTAAAGGTAAACCAATGCTTTCAGAAACACTTTCAGTAGTTAATTATATAAAAAATGTTATTTTCCTGACCAGTTTCTTTTGTCTTATCTTTTATCACCTTGCCTTTTTTTCTTGGTTTTGTAAAGACTCTTACCTGTAAATGCACTGTCAGCTTGGCATAAACATTTTCTTCAGGAAGGCTGGTGCTTAGTGACATCAGGGGAAGGGTGAAAAGGAAACCTCAGCTATGGAGTCATTTACTGAACATCCATCCAGCATTTACTGGGTGTCTAATATGGGCCAAACACTATGCAAATCTATAAAAATGCACATAGACATCATCTCAGCCTTCAAGAAGCTCACGGTCATAAACCCAGGCCTATATCTTTTTATATGTACAATTTTTTAATTCAGTCATTTATTCAACAGATATGTATTGAGTCTTAATATGTGCCAGGCTGCACTGGGTGCTGAAAAGACAGAACTGAGTAAAACAAAGGCCCTGTCCTCCCAAAGCTTGCACAAGTGGAGAGAGATAAGCAATAACTTATCCTCACTCCCCATCTTTCCAACCTGGAAGTGAATTCTTTTACCTGTGAAGTTCCTTGATATTTTAGTATCTTTATTTTGGCAATTGCTACTGTCTATCAGGTATATAAGCTAACCAAGAGCAGGAACTAGGTCTTAATCTTTATATCCACCACTATGCCTAGGACAGGTGTTTTAGTCTGTTTCTATTGCTTATAACAAAATACTTGAAACTGGGTGATTTATAAAGAAAACAAAATTTATTGCTTACAGTTTCTGAGGCTGGGAAGCCCAAAGTTCATCTGGTGGTGGCGACAGTGACCCAGGAGTCTCACATTGCAAGACAGTGGAAGCAGAGAGAGCAGAGAGAGAGAAAAGACAGACTCTTCTTCTTTTAAAGCCCTCAGAACAAAGACAGACTCTTCTTCTTTTAAAGCCCTCAGAACTATGCCCCTGACCACCATTTTTAATCCATTCACTATGGCATGATCCTACAATCCAATCACCTCTTCAAGCCTCCACCTTTCAATTAGCATAATAGGATTCCCCCCTCGTAACAGTCACAGTGAGGGCCAAGTTTCTAATACATAAAAGTTGGCAGACACAATTCAAGCTTCAGTGAGTTTTGGGGGGACGTAATTCAATCCACTACAACAGTGTTAATGAATGGTTATTGGCTCAACAAATGATTGAATGTGTCTTTTTGCAGAAGCAGTCAGTGTAGCTAAAGCAACTGAAGACCCATATGAAGCTGAGCGCTTTTTTCATTTCTGTTATCCGAAGTCAACAAAATAGCCGAAGTTCAATGGGGTTTGCATCCACACCCCTACCCTGCCTTCTCGCCCCCTGATTTTGGGGCTGGGACAGAAGGGTGCGATAGTGGACTGTACTGGACTGCATTGTAAGTACATTTTGCACTGTGCTTTATATCATGACTTTTCATTCTCAAGGGAAAATTTTAATTCTATACAGCTCATCACAGTATGAGAAAGGTATAAAAAACTTTAAGGCTTATTTGGGAAATTATGGACAACCCCTTATGCCTAGAGAGTAAGTGTGTTTATGGGAGGGCTGTGGGTGGCTGTTAAAAATAGAGGTGGAACATCTTGTTGGGGCCACACATGAAATCTGAACTTTATTCAAAAGACAGCTGGGGAGCCATCAAAGGATTTCGAGTGAGGAAGTGTGATGATCAGTTGTACCAGACACTGGTCTTTTAGGAAGAATGAAGGTTGGGGTGGAAGAGGAGGTGAGAAAGAGTAGGGCAGAAGACAATGAGGACGCTCCCCTGGGGAGGATGGTGGGACAGAACCAGAACCTTGCTTTGGCAAGGAATAGGGACGATTTCCACTCTGTCAGAAAGGAAGAAGAAAATGGGTGAAGTCCAAAAGGAAGGGAAAGCTGAGGACATTCACTTTGATGACCTTATTCTTGTTTAAAATGTGGGGGCTGAGAACAGTAACAAAGAATGAATGGGCAAAGGTGTGGTCAGGGGCTTCAGTCGGGTAGGAAGGACTGGATGTCACACTGCAGTAGGTGCATACACACAAATAGAAGCATTGACTCCTGTCAGTGAGGGCCAGCAGGTGGAGACACTGAATTTTTATGCAATCATAAAATCATTTTAGTGCCATCATTTACTTTATTCATTCAAGGAGATACATTAGTGAGTGGTAGTGACAAACATAGGCACAGTCCATTTTCTCCCATGGAACTTACTGCAGGAGGACATTGTTAATCAAATTTTCACAGAATCCCCAAGTGTATGCCTGCACTGAACACATACCACCAAGGAGAGGGGCCGGTACACTAAAAGAGCTATGGGAGTATATAGTAGGGTCTTCCATGTGGTCAGGGAAGTCAGGGATGTCTTCCCCTGAATCAAGACTTAGAGAAGGAGCACCATTCCATGCAGGGAGCCAGGGGGTGGGGTGCAGTTAATGACTTTCCCTAGAAGTGTGGCTGTGCAGAGACCCAGGCAGGTGGTCAAAGGCACCTTTGTAAGGCTCCTGTGGACAGAAGTTTGCTGAGTGCACAGACAGAGCCACCCACGGTTGCTGAGGCTCTACTCCAGCCCTGTGTGGGGGTGGCTTTGAATGAAAAGAGCACTGTGAGCTGCCCGCTGGAAATTCTTCTGTAGTACAATGAGCCTGCTGGATGCAGAGGCTGGAGTTTAAGTGGGCTGAGGGTGCCCCACCCTGCTGATGACATCAGCAAAGCATTCACAGCACACAACGTGTTACAATATACGCACAGTCAGCAGTCACAGCAAACCATCCATCACCAGACTTCCATGGCAGCACTATCTTTCCTCGGGTATACCTTTCTGAAAAACACACGTCCTTCGAAGTTAAGAACCCTGGACTCAATTTTAACAAAAAAACAAAAAGAACTTGAAAAGATCCACACATTTTTTAAAAGTTTCAACAGAGCACATTCTTTAAAAGTAAAAAAAAAAAAAAAAAAGTCCATATTATGCCTATGTTATATTGAGAATGAAGAAGTAACTCAAAACTGGATAAATTATTAAGTGCAACTATTTCTCCAAGTTTCCACTGGGTAAAGTTATTCATATGTTTAGCATTACAACCTATTTGTGGTAATATTTCAAAAATAGATTTATCACATGGATTTGTGTTTCTGTGTCACTACTGAGTGATCCAGTAACTGCAGCTCAGTCCTGTTATCTCCTTCTAGAAGTGAACTCACTTTCAGCTCTGAATATCCTTAATACAAGTTCTTCCTTTCTTCATAAGAATTGGTTAATTGCCATCTCCTGCTTTTAGCTGCATTAAGGTTACAAATGTGAAAAACATTAAAATCCTAAGATGCAGCAAAACTAGAAATGTTTAAAATTCTCTTCTGCTCTCTGTCCACGCACAACCTTCTCTGGCCTGGCCATGCAGCACTAGCACAGATGGGTGCAGCGTGAGGGTGGGGTGAGGGCCCAGGTTCCACTCCCAGCTCCAGCTACTGACTGCTGGCTTCATATCCTGGGCAGTTCTCTCTCTGTGCCTCAGGAAAGAACAGTCCCTACTTCTTGTTGTGGTAGGGTTTGGACATGAAGCACTTAGAGCAGTGCTGCAACACACGCTCGGTATTGACTGCTGGCTTCATATCCTGGGCAGTTCTCTCTCTGTGCCTCAGGAAAGAACAGTCCCTACTTCTCCTTGTTGTGGTAGGGTTTGGACATGAAGCACTTAGAGCAGTGCTGCAACACACGCTCGGTATGTGTCAGCCATCACTTGTACCCATGTAACCTCTCATACACGTGTAACGTGCATTGTGGGTAAATGATTGTTTCCATGGTAACTTGACTTTCCTATTTCCAGGCTCTTATCCCACTATTTCCTTTTTTTAAAAAAAGAAGTTTATATAGGCTACAATATTCATTCTTAACTCTGCATTAACATAAGTTTTTCACTTTCTGCCCTCTGTGTTTGCATAAGTTCTTCTTGTGTTGTTTTTTTGTTTGTTTTATTTTTGCTTTTTGTACTGTTTCTTGGGTCTGCTATTTGTAATGAGTCCACATCTTGTAGGCACACTTAGAGAGAGGCCCTGTTCTGTATCTTTGGGGCATCTGTTTTCTTGTGTAGTGAGGAAAAAGTGAGGGTGGGGCATAAAAACTAAAATTCTGTGAAATTGTACTATAATGCTGAGTTTTGAAAATTAATAATTTACCCTGTCATCCAGCCAGTGAGAAAAAAGTTCTGACCCAAACACCATCTTCTTAGAAAAGGTGATTTCCAAGCAATAAATTTATAAAATATAAAAATTACTTAAATGTTAAAAGCTTTTATCTATAACATGAGTATCGGGGAAACTCAATTATCTCGAGCAGCTCTGTTCAATAGAAATATACTATGATATATATTATATACACACAATTTTAAATTTACTAGTAGCCACGTTAAAACAAGTAACAAGAAATGTGAAATTAACTTCAAAAATACATTTTATTTAGTCTAATGTGTTCAAAATACCATCTCAACATGTAACCAATGTAAAAAAAGGTATTGAGATATTTTACATTTTTTATACAGTTTTTGAAATCCACTGTGTATTTTACACTTAGAACACATGTCAATTCAAAGTACCCATGTTCAATTGTCCCCACTATGTGTGGGTACTGGCTGCTGTGTTAGACAAAGCCATTCTAGCTTAGTTCTCCCCACGACCCATCCAAGAATTAGGAGATCTGCCAAGAGATCGAATTTGAAGTCACTGTAACAAATAACAGTTTGTTCTGAGGAAGGGCAAGAGCAAGTTCTGTTCCATAGATTAATTTTAATTGTGGGGTCAGAACACGTTTCACCGTATTTTCCAAGTCTCCAACAAATTAAGAAAAGAGGCCCAGGTCTTCATTTGGCAAAAAGCCCACATTCTGAGGCATCCATCCAGTGAAATATATTGAGGTTTTTCTCAGCCAAATAAAAATGAGGCTGATTGTTCTTGGTATCAAGGGAATGCTCGACAGCTTAGTATTTGCAAAACATCTCTTTCATCTGCCCCCCTGGAAGAGCTGACTGTGGCTTCCAAGCTTGTGAGCCCCCAAGGGCTCTTAATCAGACGCTGCAGATGCAGGTGAGGAGGGTTTTCCCGGCTCTGTGCTGCTGTGCTGTAAGTCCTACAGCCTCCTCATGAGGCCCCTCAATTCTCTGGAACAGGGTTTCCCTCTGGAGCTTTGTCAGTGTGTCGCAGTCATTCTGTTTGTTTTTCTGTATGGATTCAGTTGTTGTTACAGCTTCTTTCACCTGATTCCCAAGATGTGTTCTCAAGGTCAAGTAGACTGGAGATCTTTCAGTGCTGCCACTCACCATCTGCCCAGGCACCAGGTTAGAAGCCCTTTTTCTCCAGGTAGAATCATTTTCAGGTCATGGTCCCTCTACCTCTGAACTGTCCCTTGGATCCGGCCGCCCCCTTGCCATTGTCCTGGTTTCCATTTCTGGTTGCAGGCCCAGCCACCTACCTCAGCTTCCACACTGCTGCCAGTGTGTGCTTTCTAAAATATGGATCCAATTGGGTCACTTTTCCGGTTTGAAGAGTTTCATTGCATCCCCACTGTTATCTACACAGTGAATTTGATCCCTTTTTTATAAGCAGAACTCCGAACATTTTCAACAAGGTGTCATAAGGAGCCCCAGGATATAAAACAGATAAAATCTATGCTTCTCTGGGTAAAGCAGGGACAGAGGCCTCAGAGCGTGCCCTAAAGTCCTCAGCCCTGCCCCCTCTGGAGCCCAAAGCGGCTCCAAAGAATCCTGGAGCTCTTCTGGACACAACTGGAACTCTGCTGCCCAGTGGGAGGAAGCCCATGCTCCTTGGCCTGGCATTCAAGGCCCTGCAGAATCTGGACTCAGCCCACCTTTCTGGCATCATCACCTGCCACTCCACGTACAACCCCCTCACCCCCCATGTCTCCGCTGCACAAACCACACATGACCCCAAGGTGCCAGGCATTTGAGAGTCCACATGGTGGCCAATGCAGCCTCCTCAGCCAGGTGTGTCTTCCTGCTCGTCCCTGTCTGGTGAAATCCTTATTGTCCTCCCAGGTCTATCTCCAGTATCACCCTTGCTGAAGGCTTCCTTTATGAACAACCAAGATAGAACAAACTCCTCCCTACCCTGGGGGCTCTCTTGAAGAGACTGTTTGGCCACTTAACACATCTGTCACTTGGATCTGTTCCTCCTAGCAATATTATCTTTCTAATCCTGGCCCAGATTTTCAGTAAATGTTTGTGGCATTATAAAGTTAAGACTGGTCTTTTATTCCATGATCGACAGAGGTGAGCAAGCCTATACAATTCCCTGGTGAATTCTGAGAACCTTAGAGGAAGCTAGAGGCCAAAGAGCCCTGCATCGAAAATCTGAGCCCTTGGGATCTAATTCCGGCTCTGCCCCAAACTAAGTCTTTAAATTCAGCTCTACAACTGCCATGGTTTTTGCGCTCTGGGCATAATGATAATGAAGACTCTAGTGGCTAATATTTATAAGGCAGCTATCACATGCCAGGCCCTGCCACAGGCACTTTTCATGGATTAACTCATTTTTGCTTTACAGGATGAAGGCTGAAGCATTTACTGGATTGAACCCTTCCTCCAGTTACATCCAGGGCTGAAAGAGACTTTACAGATGGTCTCCTGCAGCGATGAGGACACCAGAACGCATAGGTGAAACCATTGCTCAAGGTGGCTCAGCCGTGGCACAGCTGCTGGGGCAGCTCTCCTGGCTCTTGGGTGGCTATTCTGTCACCCACAGAGCTTCTCTGTGACAGGAAGTGGCCTGGGTACTGGCCAGAGCCACACTTGTTTGTGCAAAATCTTTTACAAAGCTTCAACAGAGAAACATGACACTCAGCTCTCAGCACAACTCAATTCATACCTAAATATTTCCTAACTTAAAAAGCTAAATGATTTCATCTCAAATTTGGTTTAATTTTTTTTTTTTAAATTTACCTCCTAGGAAGGATTAGAATCACATAAAATAATTTCTTTAACAAGGGTATGAGTGGTGCCAACAGAAATCTAGGGTAGAAACAACTTCTTGTGCTCAGCTGTAGAGGTGCTCATGACTGCTGGTGAGGTCCCCTCCAGGCAGAGCGCTCCTTGGGCAGCTCAGCCACTGCAGTTGAGGCAGCCACCACGTCGCTTCAAGGACATGGTGTCCATGCTCTCTGATGTATGTCCACTCATAATTTTCTTAAAATCATGTCTCAATTCAAGGTGCATTTCCTGAGAGGCAGCATAGTATCATGGAAAGAGAAGTGAATCTGAAATCAAAATTCCCACCATCGACCAAATGACCTTTGCAGAAATCAGTTACTATGGCTGAGTCTCAGATTTGTCTGAAGGAGAATGTTATCAATTCTCCTGGGCCTGCCTAGCTGGGGTTGCTGTGAAGCTCCAAGGTGATGTGAAGAGGCCTGGGGGTGGGTGGCAGTGGGTAAATTCTCCTGATTCTTCTCTAAGGAGCGGTTGTATTTAGGGAATGCTGTCCAGAACTGTTCCCTCCTTTCACCCCTGTCTTAGTCTGTTCAGGCTGCAATAACAAAATACCACAGACTGGGTGAGTCACAAACAACAGAAAGCCATTTCTCATGGTTCTGAAGGCTGGGAAGTCCAAGATGAAGGCACCAGTAGATTTGCTGGAGTGAGCAGGACTGAAGCCATGTTGGGACCTAAAACCACATGGGCTCTAAAAGATTTTAAAAGGACACAGTTTTCCTTAGCATGCATTTCTCTGAGCTCCCTCCCTCTTTTCCCATGGTTATTTGATACCCTGAGCCTTGGTTATGGGGCAAGATGACATTATCCACATGAATGTAAAGCTGTTTTCCAGTCAGCCTGAAGCTACAGACTTGCTACAAGACACATACTATAGAACCTGAGAAAGCAAAGAAGACATCAGTAAAGCTACACGGATTCCAGCCCTCCAGTGGGACCCTGAGATCACAGCAAGGACGGAAGCAGAAACCACCAGATGGAGTCCTGGCGAGACCTTGCACCTGGCTCCTTGCATGGAGCCCCCAAAGCTCATGTCTCCCTCCCTTTTGCTTTTCACGTCCCATGTCCCATTCCCTCAGCCCCCTCTTTAAAAGCCCCTCATTAAACCTGAGTCTTTGAGAGGGCTTTAGTCTGGCCATTCTCCTTCAGGTTTACTGGAGAGATGGGTTAGCCCAACATCTCTCCTCGGGTCACTAGTATTCCTGAATAAAAGCTGACTTCCACCTTTACCAACATTTGACTTTTGAGTTGTTTTTACTGGGGGACAAGCAGCTGGTAACAAGATTTTGGCAAACCTCAGCTAGGAGCTGAGTGTCCTTGGTATCAGATTCAGTGTCTGGTGGAGGCCCTTCCTAGTTTGTAGATGATGATCTTTTCACTGTGTCCTCACATGGCAGAAGGGATGAGGGCATTCTCTGGGCCCCCTTTTATAAGGGCACTAATCCCATTTGTGAGGCTCCACCCTCATGTCCTGATCATCTCCCAAGGAACACGAACATTCAGACAATAGCAACCCCAGAGAAGGGAATTGACTTAGCCAAGATCCACAGTACAGTATGGACATGACAGAGCCTGGGGTCACCTCTTTCTAGCACTTCATCTAAACTGTTTTAAGATTACATGAATTTTGGGCCAGCCCGGTGGCGCACTCGGTAGGGTGCGGCGCTTGGGAGCGTGGCAGCCCTCCCGCCGAGGGTTTGGATCCCATATAGAGACCGGTCTGCTCAATGGTTGAGCGTGGTGCGGGCGCGACACCGAGGGTTGCGATCCCGTTACCGGTCACGAAAAAAGACAAAAAGGGAAAAAAAAAAGATTACATGAATTTCATTCTTCTTAAGCTAGAAATCCAGAAATTTTTGTAAACCCATATATTGTTTTAAAACTTTTAACTAAAGCCTAGCAGAACATGGAAGTAATATCTATTAAATGCATTATGGTGCCAAGCTCTGGATGCATAGTTTCATCTGAACCTCACAGCAGTCCTGCAGTGCTGGTACCATCAGCCCCCCTCCCCCCACCCATCCCACCCTTCTGGAACTTGAGGCCCAGGAAAGTTAGGTATTTGCCCAAGAGCACACAAGTGAAGAGTGGCAGAGGAGATTCAAACTCCTTTGCCTGACCAAATCCAATTCCTTTCTCATTAGCCCAGGGTGCCTCAGCAAGGAAAAAGAATTCCACAAAATTAGAGGAAAAGAAACTAAACAATGTGATTTCAGCATGGTGTTCACTGATGCTATTTCAGAAATGTTGTATTCATATTTTGACAAAGGCAATAATTGCCATATCCGGGAGAAAACAGAATCGTCTTTTTCCTGCTCTAATGTTTTAAAAAGTAAACATTGAAGTGCGCCTCGGGCTTGTCAACCTAAAACAGCAAAGGAGGGTGGTCCCTATTAACGTGCACCACGACCGCCTATTACAGCACATTATAGAGAGGCGCACACACGCGGGGACCGGGATTCAGCGCGAAGGGAGGCCTGAATGCCCCCACACACACACACACACTGCGCCTCGACCCTTCCCCTCACGTTCATTCTGAAAACGACACCTTCACCCGGCTCTCTTAAAATCCCGCTATTTTAAGGTATACAAATGCGAGTTTAAATTCCCGCCTCAAACTCTGATAGGCGGGTCACTATGCACCCTCAGCTTTAGATGCCGCCCCAGATTTCCCACCCCCTCCCCCAGCATCCTGCGCCTACACTCCGCGCCCCTCGGCTGCGCGGTGCTAGCAAGACCCGGGTGGCGCATTGTGAAGTGGCCGGAGCGTCACAGCGACCGAGACCCGGCGTCGGAGGGCGGGGCGGTGGCCGCAGCGCCCCCTGGGGGCCCGGGACCCTCGCGCAGATGCTGCGCGCCCCGAGGGAGCATGGCCGGCTTCGGCCCCTTCTCCGCGCGGCCCTACCTGGACTTCTGGGAGCCCTCTCGGCCCGGCGGAGAGCGCGCGTCCCCCGCGCGGCTGGGGGGACCCGGGGGTGAGTCACAAACAACAGAAAGCCATTTCTCATGGTTCTGAAGGCTGGGAAGTCCAAGATGAAGGCACCAGTAGATTTGCTGGAGTGAGCAGGACTGAAGCCATGTTGGGACCTAAAACCACATGGGCTCTAAAAGATTTTAAAAGGACACAGTTTTCCTTAGCATGCATTTCTCTGAGCTCCCTCCCTCTTTTCCCATGGTTATTTGATACCCTGAGCCTTGGTTATGTCCTCCGGCCCAGGGAGACCCGCCTTACATGCCCGTGAGTGGAACTTTCAAGGTAAAAAAGGCACCTAGTGGAGACCAGTGGGCAGTGCCCGTCTGCAGACATCCAGGTCGCTGTTCCCCTTCCTCGGTTCCCACGGAGAAGTCTTCTGTGGCCTCCCAAATGTTCAGGACGCAGTCGGCCTGTGTGCGCACCCCAAAAAGAGACAGTGACCTGGCTGAGTCGTTGGCCAGGCAGTGCTCCCAGCCCTCGGTCTCCAGCGAAGAGGCGCAGAGCCAGCACACCCAGATCCTCAAGAACAAGCTGGAAGAGGTGGTGGTATCCTCCAGGGACCAGAAGATCGTGGCCCTGGTGCTGGCCCGAGTCAAGAAAGCCCAGAGGATGCGGGAGCTGCAGCAGCAGGTGGCGACAGCCTGGGAGGAGCTGAAGCGCTCGGACCAGAAGGTCCAGATGACCCTGGAGAGAGAGCGCCAGCTGCTGCTGCAGCAGAGCCAGGAGCAGTGGAAGCAGACTGGGCGGCGGCAGCGCGGCAGGGGGTGCGACAGCCAGGTGAGGAACGTGACCCAGGGGGAAAGCCGGTGCAGGGCGCCACTGCACGACCAGGAGAACCAATGCCAGGAGGACCTGGAGAGGGCGCGCGCCCGGGCCGAGCACCGCAAGCTGTGCCAGGTGCAGCGCCTACGGGAGCAGGAGAGGAACCGCCTGCAGCTGCAGGAGAGGCTGGAGAAGGCCTTTCTCAAGAGGCACCTGCACGCCATGGAGGGACAGAAGAAGGGCCAGGAGACCAACCTGAGCTCCCTCGTCAATTACCAGGCCCGCAAGGTTCTCATGGACTGCCAGGCCAAAGCTGAGGAGCTCCTCAGGAAGCTGTCCCTGGAGCAGAGTTCCCAGAGGTCCCAAGAGATGCACCAGGGCCTGATTAGGGAGCGGCACCAGGAGTTGAGGGACAAGGCCCAGAAGGAGGAAGAGGAGTTCCAGCAGGCCAGGTGGCACACAGGAGAGTCTGAGGAGAAGGGGAAGACACACAGGAGGACGCCGGTGGAACTAGCAGACCAGAGGATCGGGCAGGCCAGGACCTCCACGTACAAGACCACCAGGCAGGAGGCACAGCACCTCCAGGAGCTCAGTATCCTGCGGGAGAAGAATCGCCACATTCTGAAGCTGAAAGCCGAGAAGGATGAAAAGGGTCACATCCAGGGCATCAAGGAAGCTGTCAGGAAGAAGGAGCAGATCTCCCAAGGGAGAGATCCCACCTTCCAGGAGTTCCAGAAGATGCCCGGCCTTCATAGGAAAGCTGCCCAACAGGTCCTTTGATCAGATGGCAGAAGCCCAGCAGAGAAGGGGCTACTGAGAACTGAGGACAAATAACTTACAGGCCCGGCAGTCAGGAGATGTGGCAATGTGATACATTGTATAATCTGATTACAATTGAGCACTGGTTTCTAAAAAGTATATAAAATATACTTTTCCTCTCAGGAACTAGTCTATTTTTTTCTTTTAACATTTACTTGCACATATTGGTGGGATACAGAGTGTTGTTCCAACACGTGCATATAACTGCAATGATTCACTTAGGGTAGGCAGCACAGTTTTGTACCCACTAGTCCACCCCTTCTCTTCCTCCTCACCTCTCTCCCCTCATGGCCTCTGGTAACCATTATTCTACTCTCCGCTTCTATGAGAACCACTTTTGTTTTTAGACTCCACATGTGAGTGAGACCATGCAGTATGGGTGGGTCTGTGCCTGACTTGTTCACTTAACGTGATGGTCTCCGGCTCCATCCATGTTGCTCAAATGATAGGATATCTTTTTTTTCTTATAGCTGAGTAGTATTCCATCATGTATATACACCACAGTTTTTCTTATCCATTCATTGTTGATGGACATTTAGGTTGATTCCATCTCTTGGTTACTGTGAATAGTGCTGCAATGAACATTGGAGAGCAGGTGTACTTTTGATATATTGATTTCATTTCCTTTGGGTACATGTCTGTGTGGTAGGGTAGATCTATTTTTAGTTCTCTGAGGAATCTCCATACTGTTGTCCCCAATGACTGTACCAATTTACATTCCTACCAACAATGTAGAGTTCCTTTTTCTCTGCCTCCTCACTAGCATTTGTTATTTTCTGTCTTGTTGATGACAGCCATTCTTACTGGAGTGAGATGATATCTCATTATGGTTATACTTTGTATTTCCCTGATGATTAGTGATTTTGAGCATTTTTTCTATGTGATTATTGGCCATTTGTATGTTGTCTTTTGAGAAATGTCTATTTACATCCTTTGCCCATTTTTTAATTGGGTTATTTGGTTTTTTACTATTGAGTTGTTTCAGTTCCTTATATATTCTGGATATTAGCCCCTTGTCTGATGTGTGGTTTGCAAACACTTTCCCGTTCTGTGGTTTGTCTCTTTATTTTGTTGATAGTGCCCTTGCTGTGCAGAAGCTTTTCAGTTTGATGTAGTCCCAGTTATCTTTTTTTTTTTTTTTTGCTTTAGTTGCCTGTGTTTTTGTAGTCTTGCTCAAAACAGTGCTTCCCACCCCCATTTTGTGTAGCGTTTCTCCTTTATTTTCTTCTAGTAGCGTTTGTAGTTTTGGGTCTTAAATTAAGATCTTCAATCCATTTTTTTTTCCTTTTTGTCTTTTTTCGTGTCCAGCAATGGATCGCAACCCTCAGTGTCGCGCCCGTACCGGACCAGGACCAGCAACGGGATCGCAACCCTCGGCGCTGCGCCCGCACCTCGCTCAGCCAGTGAGCGGGAACCGGTCTGTATGTGGGATCCGAACCCTCGGCGGGAGCGCCGCCGCACTCCCAAGCGGCGCACTGTAGCAGTGCGCCACCGGGCCGGCCCCTTCAATCCATTTTTTAGTTGATTTTTGTGTATGGTGAGAGATAGGGGTCTAGTTTCAATCTTATGCATCTGGTTATCCAGTTTTCCCAGCACCATTTATTGAAGAGGCTGCCATTTCCCAGTGTATATTTTTGGCACTTTTGTTGAAAATCAGTTGGCTGTAAATATGTGGGTTTATTTCTGGGCTTTTAATTATATTCCGTTGGTCAATTTGTCTGTTTTTATGCCGGTACCATGCTGTTTTGGTTACTATAGCTTCATAGTATATTTTGAAGTCTGGAAGTGTGATGCCTCCAAAGGTAGGATGAATGAGTTTATTGATTCTCTTGGATAGTTTGGGGATTTTAAGAAAATTACTTGGCTTTGTAAGTTTTGATTTGAATAAAAAATACTTATTTAGCTCTCAAGTAATCTTAGGGGCACACATCAGGCATATCTTGGAAGAACTGGAGAAAATCTTCAGTTGCGCATACAGTGCTGCATCATTTCTTAATAAGTATTTTCTGTCCTAGAACTTACAAAAGGGTGCAATGTGAGTGACCAGTCATAAGAAATAGCCAAGAAAAAAAAAAGGGTAGGGGGTGAGAGTATTTCTGTGAACAACTGAACTTGGAAACCCTACATACAATATCCCCTCTTGGGAGTTCATAATGCACTTTTAAATTTTTTAAGGCTCCAAAAAGTCCTCCAGCAAAGAAACTTATTTGTTTAAACTAGTATTTTTTACAAACCATGAAACCTTTTTTTTTTTTCTGTCAAGATTATTCCATGCAGGGGGCCGGCCCAGTGGCGCACTGGATGGGTGCGCCGCTTGGGAAGCGCGGTGGCGCTCCCGCCCGAGGGTTTGGATCCCACATACAGACCGGTTCCCGCTCACTGGCTGAGCAAGGCGCGGGAGCGACGCCAAGGGTTGCGATCCCGTTGCCGGTCCCCGGTCCGGTGCGGGGGCAAAACTGAGGGTTGCAATCCATTGCCGGACACGGAAAAAGACAAAAAGACAAAAAAAAAAAAAAAAAAAAATTATTCCATGGAATTAGTGTTCTGCAAAACACTTTTTGAAATGGTGCTCTATAGTTCCTCCCAGATTTGGCCTCCTCCAGATTTGTTCCTCCCGCTTTGGCCTCCCTCCCTGTGTTGATAGGGAGTGTTTGTAATCAGCACCATGGATTGACTGGTTCATCATAGCCAGCCATGCTAAGAGCTCTCTGAGTGGAACCTATTTGGTCTGATTCTTTCTTTTTTCTTTTACATGGGGAGGGGGTGAGTGTTGGTCCTATTCAGTCTTGTGGAACAGAATTCTATTGGGATCCTTCTCTTCCCCTCTATTTCTTCTCTGTTTCTTTGGAGGGAGATGTATGATGTCCTCCTGTCTACCAACATTGTGTTCAATTAACCTAACCAGGCTGTTAATGAGTGACTAAGCATGACTCAATAACATGACATTTAAAAATAAGGAGCCAGCAGCTAAATAGAAATTAACCCACTGCATTACAAAGTCTGTATCTAAAAACTAAATGTTTTCCTTTAAAAGCCCCTAATGTAACAGTTGTATTAAAAAGAGAGAGGGGAGGAGAGAGACTAAGCCCCATTGGAAGATTTCATGTTAGTAGTAATTTTAAAACATTAAAGGTAACCTGACAAGGGATTTTGTGCAGAGGTAAGTGTGAGATCCATGTTCTCAGCTCTTATAAGAAAGATGAGGCCTTCCAATTGTGTTTCTTCCCCTACGCTAGATCCCCCCCGCCTGCTGTCCCCAAG